CTGGGCATAGTTGAAGCATTTCAGAGGGAGCTTGGCACTGAACGAGAACCGGAGCTGGTAAATAGCTAATTTGGAGAGAACAGGGCTGATCTGGGGTGAAGGACAAATGAGGTGTTAAAAGTGGGGTAGAGAGAAGGCTAAGGATCAGATGAAACTTGTACATGAATCAGGGTCAAAGAAAATTATAACTGGAACAAAAAACTCCCACTTTATAGTGTAGTGGAGGACTCTTCCAAATAACAAAGAGGGTAATAAGAAAGGGCTGGGTGTGGCAGGATTAATCTAAAACTTCAGTAAAGGTTTTTTTGCAGGACATTAAGGATTGGAGATAGCAATTACAGACACTGCTCAGAGATTGAAGGAGCAAAGCATGGGAAGGCAGATGGTTATAGTTCCTTATTCTGAGCAGGGAGAAATGGAGTATGAAAAGTTGCAGTGATTGTGTGCTGGGAATGCAAAGGAAAGGAGGCTCTAGAGAACATGTTAGGGGTTTGTGGAACTAGAAATAGGAATGATGAGAAGGAAGAACATATCAACAGAATAAATAATCAATGGAGTAGAGGGAAAGAAAGAGGCAGTGATGATTTGGAAACTCTATTCCCTGTTCTTCCAGTGGTCCGTGAACCTGTAGTCCACCCCCTCTGGACTGCGTACACATTATAAATGAAAGAATTTGTCACCAAGTGGTGACAGAGTCTTCATGACATTAGACAAAAGGTGTTGAGATGAGTTTATTCAGCAGGAGGATTGTGGAGTGCGAAAAAGGAGGAGATCATCAAAGTATTCATCACAGCGTCCGGTAGAGGATATTACTGAGGAGGACTTGGACAACATTGCGATCACTGTTAAAGACAAAATCTACGACAAAGTTCTAGTAAGTGGCTGCTGTTTTCTTTACTGTGTCCCGTGCACTTGAAATAGAAAATCTCTTAATAGTTCACCTGGTGTTAGCTGAAAGGTGTGCTTTCCTGAGGTTCTGGAGAGTGTGGCTCTGCATTATTAAATTGCACAAGCACGACTCGAAAGCTTTGCCAGGCTTCCATGGGCTTGCCCACGCTGGTTGATGTGCCCCACCAACTTTTTGCCTCTGCAAAGAAGTGCTTTCTTGCCATAGAGCTATTAAGGGGAATTTGCTTGTAGCTATGACTCACCACTGATAAAAGTTGACATCCCTTTTATCTCTTTTTCTCACTTAATATAAATGTGGAGGCAGTGGCGGTTGTGCCATTCAATAGTAGTGCTCCCTGGTGCTCCTTGTACCTCCTGGAAATAACATTTCTGTATGTGTTGGGTAATTTCCAAAGCTCTTGATGGAACTCCTCCTTCCTTTCCTACACCGGATTTGACTATTATTAATTGTCATAAAGATCTAGATGATCAGCTTACTAAATATTTCATGCTTCATTGTATTTGCAGAGATGAATCACAAAGTCATTTTCTGAATAGTTTTAGCTTTTTCCTAGAGAGAGGAATGGATCAGAACTGTGACATGAGGTTCATATAGTTTGAGACTCCAAATGCAACTGAGGCTGGAGACTGTCTCTAAAATTCCTAACATCTCTCCAGATAATTTATCATAATAACAAAACTGATGGTTTTGACTAAGATTTTCCTTGCTGAATTTGACTTTGGTTTGAGGTTTGTGCTTTGCTATCAGCAGATACATTAGGAAAGTTCAGCAACGAGGATCTGAGATGTCCTTCATTACATACATTTCTCCTCCTTTCCAACTTTAGGGTAGTACTTGCCACCAGTGTCGACAAAAGACAATTGATACGAAGACAGTCTGTCGCAACCAGGGCTGTGGAGGAGTAAGGGGGCAGTTTTGTGGACCGTGTCTTCGAAATCGGTATGGGGAAGATGTGAAATCAGCACTGCTTGATCCGGTAAGTATCATTTCTTGAGCTTGGAAAGAAAGTGTGATGAATACGGTTTTGGTAGTAAGCTGGGATGAATATATGCTCGTGAAAACACGGTGTTCAAAGCTTTTTGCCATGAGAAGAGCTGTAGTACTGTTACAACTCACACTGATCTTGTTGGAGCTGGGCCTGGGTTACAGTCCACCCATCTTTGTGCTTTGAAGCTCTACGTGCTTACCAGATAGTGGAGAGAAAGCATGAGACCTTTTAAGAAAAGGAATCTGTCCCCTTTCAGAAAAATGCCCAAACATACCCTATTTTAATAATCCATAATGTGGCATATGAAAGAGATTCCTTGTTTTAGATTCTAATTTTTAAATACGAGAAAAAAGGAGGCGGACACCTAAAAGTCTTAGGGTTGGTTCCCTTTTCTCTGTTTAGTCCTGCAGGATTTGGAAAGTGTTAACAAGGCTTTTGGCTGGCAGATTTGGGCTTTTAAAACCTTGCCCTGAACAGTCTCGCAGTGAGGAAGCCGTCCGTGTCTGTCTGAGCAATGAGACGGTGACTATAACCTTACTGACAGCTTGTCTTTCCCCTCCCTCCCCACGTTCACCCCCTTGCAGGCCTGGATCTGTCCTCCTTGTCGCGGGGTGTGCAACTGCAGCTACTGCCGCCGGCGGGACGGGCGCTGTGCCACGGGCATGCTCATCCACTTGGCCAAGTTCTGCGGCTACGACAATGTCAAGGAGTACCTGGAAAGGTGAGGGCTGTGCCCTGTGGGCATTCCTTTTTAGACTCCTCTAAATAAGGTTTGACTTCTGTGGCCTGGGGCAGATCCTGGAGCTACGTAAAAGAAGTCTCTTGGATCTGAGATTTCTCCTAGGCTGAAATTAGCTTCATTGAAGTGAGTCGTATTGTCTGTGAAAACAACTCATTTGTTTAAGAAAGTGAAATGCTTTTCCCTATTTTGAAATCAGTACTGCTCGCTTCAAGCGTATAGAAGTGCTTTTTTAGAAGTTGTCATCTTCAGAAATAGAAACGTGGATGGTGACTCAGGGAGGTGGTTGAGTCACCATCCCTGAATGTGTTTAGGAGTCGTTTAGATGCAGTGCTGGGGGATATGGTGTAGGGGAGAACTTTGTAGAGTGGGGTTGATGGTTGGACTCAATGATCCCAAGGGTCTTTTCCAACCTGAACAATTCTATGATTCTAAATAATCTGTTTATGGGGAACCTGAGTTGCCTAAAAAGCACTAACACTGTTTTCTTACACATCCTGCAGTTTACAGAAACAACTGGCAGACGGCAATTGAGAACCCTGAACTCAAGCTGGGCCTGCAACTGGTTGATATGTTGACAAGTTTTGACTTCAAAAGGTTATTGCTATGTTTTATATAAGATAGAATTGTAGAGTATAGTATATGCATTTCTGTGTTGGGAACTTTTTGATTGATGTGGTCTTATGCAAAAAGATCTCTCAGGAAAATGTTTTGGTAGAGAAATCTACATGCACAGACCTATATGCTAAGTGAAATGGCACTCTTAAACCTTGAGTGGTTAATTTTTAATAGAGCTACACAACCACTTGATGGAGAAACTTGGCCAATTTGAGCAATGTTTTTATTTATATAATTGTGCAAGTTTGCAGAAAGGGTGTTTAACAACTACCTGTAAAGTATACCACATCTTTGAAGAAACAAAACCCCTCTTTGTGTTCCAACTTGACCACAAAGATTCAGTTTTCCAGCTCTTGCTTTCTAAACCTGTTCCTCCACCTGCAGTTTATGGAACTTGTCCCTACAAAGAAGGGAAGTGTACTTTCACCTGAATGCCATTATATTCCAGCAAAAGCTGATGCAACCTACCAGGGGAGGATTATTTTTTTTTTTATTCCAAAGTGCAATTAAATCACTAAACCATGAAAGTGAAAGAGTGTTTTTTTTAAAAAAAAAAAATTAAATAAAATTTAAAAAAAATTAAACATCATCCCAATAAAGAGAAAGAATTGTCTATCAGCAGTTTCCATGTGATGCACCTGCTGCCTGAACCAACTACCTTACAGCAATCCATAACTGGTGAACTGGTTTAAGTCTCAAAGTTCAGGATTATTTTTTTTAAATACAGTTCATACTTAGAAGTTTTTTTCATATGTACAACCAAGTTTTCAAGCAACTTTGTTTAAATGCAAGATGTTTGTATTGCAGTATGATTATATTAAAATTTTTGTAAGATACACACTGCATTTTACATAGAGAAAATAAAGAATAATCAAGAGGAGCATTTTGTGAGTCAAACTACACCTAGATGCTGATGTTTCTTATTTATTTTCCTATAGCTGGTGTAATGAAGGAATGCTTGCAGATCAATGATCATTATATGGAGAAACACATAAACACAACACTGACGGATGAGGAGCATATAAGTGTTACACTAAAGAACATTTTTTGTGAGGCAAATCTGCTGCTCCAGCTGACTGTGAAAAATATTTATCTCCTTTTGCTTTAACTACAAGGCAGATTGAGAAAGCAGCACGTACTATTGAAAACTTAGCAGTAAACTGCCAAGAATACAGCTTGCTCTTGCCAGAACCCATTTTGCTGGCTTCTTGCTTTTCAGATTGAAAGTTCAAATGTAAGTTCAGAGAATCACAGAATGGTTAGAGTTGGACGGGACCTTAAAGATCACCTAGTTCCAACCCCCTGCCCTGGGCAGGGACACCTCCCACCAGACCAGGTTGCTCAAAGCCCCATCCAGCCTGGCCTTGAACCCCTCCAGGGATGGGGCAGCCACAATTTCTCTGGACAACCTGTTCCACCTTCACAGTAAAAAAATTCTTCCTAATAGCTAGGCTAAATCTCCCCTCTGTCAGTTTAAAACATCTGGTAAGGACTAGTCCTGTTCTGCACCTCTAATAGCTGCAAGAAGTTCTAGGTGATCAATATCAGGGCAAAATGTAAAGTCTCTGGATTACTTTTTGAAGTCATAGTGGACCAACATTAACAATCTGCCAATATTCCTAAACTTCCTCAGTGCTGTTCATAGGGTCACAGCACGTTAGTCTAACCCCTGGTGGAACTTATCTACCTAATGAAGGAATCTAGAGTCCCTGAACCTGATCAAGCAATTTAAGTTTATTTCTTACCTTCCATGAAAGATACACGCTCCTTCCCTTTGTGGGTGGCCATAATCTTCTTTGGTCTTTTTGGTAACATCTTCAGTCAAGCCCACCTTATCCAAAGGCCAGTTGTTCTTGCGTGCCATACTCTGCATTACAACTTTAAAAAATGCTTCCAATAATTCAGTATCCAGACAGCAATTTCAATGTCAGACGTGTTAACATGCCCCTCTTGGGCCAGTTGTGCTTAAATGTGAGACTGAGTGGGGTTTGGTGGGTTTTGGCTTTGGTTTTCTCTTTTTTTTTCCTTTGGCCATTATTTAAAGTAAGGCAAAAAAGCTGCATGAATGCAATTGTTTGGAAACAAAGCATTTTGCACAGTACAGAACAAACCAACCCCCTCTGAGTCCCGGTTTAGAACAAGCCTGTGTGAACATCTATTTCAGCCTGCGTGGTCCTTACGTGCCCCCAGCCCTTGACAGGAACAAGTGCCCAGAAGATAAAGCTTGAAGAGAGGCAGTAAAAGCAGTGAAAAAAAAATAAATAGTGGGGTTTCTCTGTGCCTGTGGCACAAAACGAGCACCGTTTGGGGAGCTCGCCATGAGCAGCAGAGAGAAGAGGAGCTGCCTCCAGCCCTCATGATGCCATCCCCTTCTGCTTCCAAGTACAGAAGGGGTTTGGGGTCTGGGCTGTAGATACTCCCCGGGCCCCCACTGCCCATCTTCTCCAGGGAACAATGACAGCCTGGCCAACGAGTCCTGTGAGGAGCTCCTGGCCACGTTTCTGGTACATTAGCAGAGAATTACCTGAGTACCATTGGTGGCCATGCAGAATTTGAGATACCCTGTTGTCAGGCTCTCATGCAGCTTCAGTGTTGTCTTCAGAATAATTACATGCATACGTGCTGTGATCATGGCAAGAAGTGAGACATCAATACACTGCTGAAGGTTTTTCATCCCCTGCTGTGGTAACAACTACACAAAGAGGTGTAGTTTTTTTTCCTGCTTTGCCTGATAACAGTGCATTAATACTAAGGAATAAAATGCCATGTCACCATGTCACGTGCACGGAATTGGTTAAATACTAACGTTGGGAAGACCTGCACTCTTAAACTTTTTTAAACTATGAAAAGCAGCATTTATTTCCTTACCTGCTTTGTCTTCATGCTTCTGAGGAAACTGGAGATGAGTTTGGATTGTTCCTCTTGCTTCCAGGAGATGGTTATTCTGGTATTTAGCTGATTTTTTTATCTTTTTATTTAAACTTGTGCTTAACTCTGCAGAGAACATCACAAATGTAAGTAACACTAACGGTAAAAAAAATAAATGTTTGGCAGTGGAATGATATGCCTTGACAATGGCAACCATTGCTGCTTACCTGTCAGCAAGGACTGAGGACTGAACAAGCCAGAAAGCCACACCACCACTGGCAGCACAAGGTCCTGTGGCCAGATCCCAAGTTCTCTTCTCGCATGAGAAGATCAGTAGCCCTAAAAGAGAAGCAGCAGCAATAGCTTCTGCCTTAACCTCTTTGTACTACTTTTTTAGAGAAAATAAATTGAAGACTTTGAGTCTTTGTCTACTGAGAAGGTACACGGCTGAAGTAACCAGAAAATACCTGTTTATATAAGAATGGTTTTAGTGGAAGTTGTTCTTTACCTGATGTGGGTAGGTATGAAATCAATCGTAGAAACTGATCAGCATGAGACAGGTTGCTGGCAACGGAGAACGTGAGTATGCTCAAGCCTGTCAAACTTGCTCAGGTTTCTCTCCAAGACAACGTCACCATTGCTAACGTTAACACACTTTCAGAAACTGCCAAAAATGGGTAACAACAGCTGATGGCTTCTTAGATGCAAATTGTCTGATACCATCTTCAGTGGTGCATTTAAACTGCCAGTAAGTTTAAACTTCCATTTAAACAGTGCGAAGTACGGATCAGGAGCACAAAAGCTCCTGACGAGGACTCTCAATAATGATGTACTACAGCACACATTGCCATGAGATAGAGGAATTTCCAAAAACACTGCATATTTTTTTCCATATCTAACCACCTGCTGGTAGGAGGGGAGGGGAAAAGGCATCCTGTGAGATGCTGAACACCACTAGCGCTTGGGACGAGGGAGGTGACGAGGTCTCGCTTTAGCAAAGTTTTTTTTGCTTTCTGCAAAACTCACTTCAAAGTAAAACTGACTTGCATTAAGACAAATTTTGGACAAAAAACTAAAACTGGGGTTGGGTCAGTGGACTAGCTCTGTGCGTAGCAGCTAAGCCCTGTTACTGAAGTGTACTTAGTGGGCAAGGCTGTACGTGGATGGACGTGGCCAGTTTAGTCCACGTGTCTGGCACAGCATCCTAGAAGAGTGCAGATTGCAGTACTTCATGTGAGGAGAAAACATCACACCACACACCCCACAACCCCCCTTTGGAGAACAATAAAAACCATACTGGCATCATAAAGAATAGCTATTCTTTTCACTTCCAAAAAAAGCAAGAAGAAGCCCCAAATTGCATAGAAGAGTAACAATACTGTTAATAAAATAGTCACTTGCCTGCAGACTTAGGTCCAGCTATTTAAGAGACCTATGGATCCCCGACAGGAGGAGGTTCATCCTCCCACACTCTTGAAGGCACACAAGGGCACAGGGGCTCCAGGCAGTAGCTGTCTGTGTGATGTCTGCCACGTTAAACTCCTTGGGAAGCATGTCCAGAATATTATCCAGGACATTCTTCTCCTTTCCGGGCAACACAAACAGAGCCATTAGAAATCACTGCAATCAACTTTGTCTGACTCTTCTACTTTCAAGTCTGGAGAGTGCAAAAAAAAAAAAAAAAAAAATCACATTTTCTTGGGCAGATAAAAACCAGGTGCTCCCCCACCTTTGCTGTCTCTTTGGAAATAGTATTGCAAGAACTGACTGCAAACCAGTTAATATTCAGCAGCTTCTATTTAGCTTTACCTTTTCAAGTAACACAGACCCCTGGAGCCAAACAGCATCATCCCTGGGCTCAGGATTGACTGCAGTTACAACAACGTAGCCTGAGATTGCCTTGGTTTTCAGTAAAGCACAATTAGTAGTTTTTATTTTTACAGTACCTAATAGCTTCTATCTCTCCCCTTCCACCCCTGCAGTCCTTACTGTCTCGGGCATTACAAAAATACATTACAAAATGTATTGGCATTACAAAATACAGCACAAGCACATGGAGACACATGTGTCACCCCCCAAAAGAGCCTCTCTCCCTCCCTGCAGGCCTGCTCTGGAACGGAGACAGAACACAAATGAAAACCAGCTCATAACAGTCCTAATGAGCAGGGACTGAAATCACAGCATTAAAGCAGCTCAGTCTCCCTTTCAGCCCTGGCTTTGGCAGGATGACTGATGAATGCCATATATAATTGTCCACAGGCACTACAGTGGACGGGAACCAAACATGAAAAGCACAAGTTGCCCCCAGGAAATGAAACGTTGTTTGGCTACTTGCATGCTGAGCTGTCATATTCCCTCCCGCAAAACCCCCGTGATCTGATGGTGATAAGAGAAAAAATTAAAAAAAAAAAAGACGACTTCCCAGAGGAAAAGGAGGGAGTAAAGAGTAAAGAAAAGGGATGGAGACGTGCAGAACAAGAGTGGCAGTTGTGGGGGAATTTAATTAGCTCTGATAAGGGTGAGGAACTGAAGGCTTATAGTCTCATGATATGCCAGTTTTTGGGGCATCTGGACATTGTTTCTCAGGTCTACACTCAGAAAGGAAAGCACAGAAGGGGTCTGATAACAGAACTAGATGAGATTTCTGATTAAATTTTCCTTTCCTGCTCATCCTTTATTCATTTAATCATCTATTAAGCACAGCACCAGCACTGCTTAAAACCCAGCCTTTTACATTTTTTCTGAAGTCGGTTTGGCTGCACTAAGATATCTGGGTATCTGAGATATTGTGACTGTGGACAGAACTACAGTGTCCCAGTTAACTCCATAGTAAGTGACAAAGCTTATCTTTGTCTTAGGGTTGGTCCCTTCAACCCAGCATCTGATAGCTTATAGGTATTAATGTTATTTTTCTGCTAAAGTCCAGATTCAGTACAAGAGAGGTGCTAAGAGATGGTCAGACAGCCTCCTTGCCCAGAGTTCACTTCTTCAGACTACCAGAAAACTAAAAATCACTGAAAAACCTCTTCCTTGGCTGCTGCTTGTGAGGGAAGTCTCTTGGAGCAGCCACGTGGGTCCAGCTCAGATCAAGGATGCAGGACAGGGGGTGGTGGGAGAGGACTCCACTTGGGCTGCTCTTCCCAGCGTGGAGACCCTACACATCACTGCTGGGATGTGCTGTGACCGTGGCAGAAAGAAGCCAGGACTGCGGGCTGGGAGGGACTTCCTATGCTCAGCACGAGCAGGAAGGAGCAGGGTATTAACCCAAAGGAATTTACTCAATTTACCCAAAGGAGTTTGGGGCAAAGTTTGAGGAAAAGACTAGGCTCACCACTCAGCCAACCATAAGCAGCCACGTGGGTCCAGCTCAGATCAAGGATGCAGGACAGGGGGTGGTGGGAGAGGACTCCACTTGGGCTGCTCTTCCCAGCGTGGAGACCCTACACCTCACTGCTGGGATGTGCTGTGAACGTGGCAGAAAGAAGCCAGGACTGAAGCTGGGAGGGACTTCCTATGCTCGGCATGAGCAGGAAGGAGCAGGGTACTTACCCAAAGGAATTTACCCAATTTACCCAAAGGAGTTTGGGGCAAAGCACAGAGGTAAAGACTAGGCTCACCACTCAGCCAACCATAACTTTTTTTAGGCATTGGCGTTGCTGTACTTGCTTATAAATGCACACACACACACAAAAAAAAGCAAGATAGATTCATCCTCAACCCAGTTGGTGTTGCTGTAATTGCTTATAAATGCACACACACACACACACACACACAAAAAAGCAAGATAGATTCATCCTCAACCCATCTTAAATTCCAAGTGAAAAAGAAACATATGCAAAGCATAGCATAACAGTCTGTTAGATGTTCCTCTGGTCCAAATGCCTCCCTGGAGCAGTACGTTGGACAGGCTAGCTCATTAACATCACTACTATCACTACTATTAACTATTACTCTTTGCTAATTTGATGCATTTTTTTTTTCCCCTAAAAATGAAGTCTCTTACCGAAATAACATAGTAAGATGTGTGCTCCACATGTCATTAACAGCACCAACAATACACCAGATGACGAACTTTTCCTTTGTAGACTGGCCTGATCCCTCTCCTGCAAATGAATTAAAAGGTTGCATTTCCAAAATAGTTTTGAAGAGGTAATATATTGGTGTCAAGTATCCCATCTCAGCACTGGGGTCCAGTCCACATAGTACAGGGCTTTCAGATGGAAGCATTTCATCTATGTAATTATGGTATCCAGCATACAACTCCCACCAGACCAGGTTGCTCAAAGCAATTTATGTAATTATGGTATCCAGCATACACCTCCCACCAGACCAGGTTGCTCCAAGCCCCATCCAGCCTGGCCTTGAACCCCTCCAGGGATGGGGCAGCCACAGCTTCTCTGGGCAACCTGTTCCAGTGTCTCACCACCCTCACAGGAAAGAATTTCTTCCTAATATCTAATCTAAATCTCCCCTCTTTCGGTTTAAACAATTACCCTCTTCCTATCACTCCACTCCCTGATAAAGAGTCCCTCCCCATCTCTCCTGTAAGCCCCAAGAATTAAGCAGGTGGACAGAGGGCTTTGGGAGATGTACTCTTGGGGGGCCTGCCCTCCTACTGACGACAGGACAGAACAAAAACTATAGCAACCACATTTATTTTCCAGTTTCCCCCAGCTCCTGTGTTGTAAAGGGCTTCACTGGATTCAAAGAGTTTCTCTGAACTTATTGCCATAGAGCTGTCTGGGATTTAAACTAGACTTGCAAGTTGCTTTTGCTGAAAAATATTTCTGGCTCTAAGTGGTACTTTTCACAGGAGCTATTTCTTCCTAATGCGGGGTCCACTCCACAAAATGACAATAAAATTTAACAGCTTTTGGCATTTAGAAGAGTCAACAACAAGCTGGTGCTCACAATAACACCGGTAAGCACTTATTTCTGAAGTCATTTTGGTTCTGCAACCAGCCATTTACCTGCGCCCAAACCTGCACCACTAACCTCAGCCACAATAAACTGCGTCTTAAAGATGCCGCTTTGAAGTAGTGCTGAGGTTTTGAAAAAAAAACCAACCACCAAACAACCCTGTTATTCACCTCGAGAGGAAGATCAATTCTGTCAGACAATCTGTACTTACCAGTCTCTCTGCTGGCACTTAAATCGGGTTTTACTGTATTCCTGGGAGTCACACACACAGGGGGAGGCTGCGGGTTACGGGGGTTCAGAGCAGGCACTCACCCCCTTTCCGTCCTTATGACAGATCCTGGATGAGCTATAGCAAAGCTGACGTAGAGTGGTTTATTCTAATGCACCTCCTCGAATGAATTTATAGCTAAAAGAACTCC